ATGCTTGCAACAAGTAGGTCGAACTCTCGTCCTACTGCAGTACAACCCCCCTAAAGGAGTTTGGACTATAGCTGACTTGGGATATTACGGATTCCTAGACCTTCATCCTTCTAAGTGACCTTCCAAACCTACCTAGCCTTTGTATACAAGCCAGAAGGTAATTTTTCATAAATAGGGGAACCCAGTGTTATCCCCGAAATAACTATGCACTATACTCTATCAAACAAGGTACCCCTAGTCCTGGACAACCCCAATCCCTATAAACTTGTCTATAATCCCAATTTCCATTTCATCTCCTGTGTCAGTTTCTATCTGGTTCCCCATTATTGGGTAATCTCCTCCTCAACCCTACATATCATCCCTAACTAATTCCTATAAGAGCCCTATATCACCCGTTGAATCGCGGGTTCGCTTGTGCTGTATGAGGCCCTGACTCGGCATCTTGCCTGGTAGAATTCAGGGGTCTTTGGGCCTTTGGGTTTGCTGGAAACTTTAGGGTCAGGAGTGGGATCAACATGCATCAGACTAGCGCCATTCCGCGATGAGGTGATGTATTCACAAGTCCGCCCACGAAGGATAACAAACAACAAAGAAAAAAGGCCCGTGCCTCACGCCACGTTGACCTTCCTAGAAGTGACATTGCCACCGGTCTACGCTGCATCTAGCCGCCTGTAAAATCAGGCAAGCTGCCCAGTTTGGCAGTTTATGGAGTATGCCGCATGCATGCTCTTCTTCCGAAGCTGTGATGGCTGTTGCGGTGGTGAGGTTGGTCATCAGGGTGACTGGTGTGGTGAGCTAAATGACCCTGAGACAGCTTACGTGCTACATTTTGTGAGAGCAGATCCATTCATATACCAGGACATTCAAACAAGCAAGACCATTTGGCAAACCTCCATGCCTGGATTGCTTCTTGAGGCAGCAATAGGAAATGGAACGGAGTGAAATGATTGTGCGCCAAAATGCGAGTCTTTTTTGGAGGTGTGTACGGAGGGCCCTAAATTTGGCCAATAGCCAAGTGAGCAAAGACTCGAAGTTTCCCGAAACGAAATGACCCTCAAACCTGGAATATGTGGGGATTACACGGTATCATGGTGAGGGTTTGGGCGACCTGATGTAAGCGCTGTCAGGCTTCAGAACCATCATGACTGAGGATTTGAACATCAAATGGTGGGTCAGTGTAGACAAACAACATTCGGATTAGGGTTTAGGGGGCTAGGGTTTAGGGTTTATGGTAAGCAAATGTATACAAATGTTTCATGAATGCGTTTAAGGATTTGGAACCACACAGGGCTTACCTTTTACCTCGGAGACTGCGGCTTTTTGTCACTCAAAACCTATCTTCAAAGAAGGTCCCCTTCTTGATGCCCTCCCAAAACCTGGGCCTCTCATTTCAAAAAACGTGCAACTCCAAAAAACTAGGATAGCTGCTGGCAATCAGCCACTAACACATGGAACTTTCAACATTGCAATGGTAAGTTGCCAGCAAAGCTGAGGGAAATGATTTGCAAGCTTGATCTGAGCCATAGTCTAAACTCCTAGTATCCCCCTTAATATCCCCTATAGTAGTCCCCTATATAACCCCTATATAACCCCCTTTAAGGAGTTTAGACTATAGCTCATCTGATGCAAAGAAACTTGGGGTCGTACCAAGCACCGGTCAGGCTTAGTAGACCACCATGCTCCGAAGCTTGTACAGGGGTGGGTATATGGGGATGAGCTAGGGCTTTGTGGGGATATACGGGGTCATATTATAGGAAGCTATGCATGTATTATGACGCATGTCTTTGGCTTGAGTATTCTCCATGGATTATTTGAACCTGCATGCGAAAAGCCTTGTGTTTGGTTGGCAAGGCTTAGGGCTTATGAAGTCGTGCGCTTCAGAAGTGGTAACTGCGGGCGGGTCGATTTTGATTTATGCTGCAGCCTCATCTACACTGTAAGCGCCTCTGAATGTAGGACCCCTTCAAAATGAATGCCTTGCTGGCGCTTTCATTTTTTCTTTTGTACAATGTTTCAGTGGGTGCCGAGGACTTGATAATCTGACATAACTGCGTGATGGGCTCAGGAGCCAAAGCTGCGCGACAGCGATGATATTCTGCTCATCGCTGCTGCTTTTTGTGGCTGCCTTTTTTGGTGCCATGCTGTCAGCATGCTGCCAGCTTGCGCCAAGCTCAAGCTCTATGACTTCGGGACATGTGTGACCTGCAGCCGTGATCAGCGTTTTTTCTTTTCAACCAGGTCTCTGTCCACTGCCGCTGTAGCATATGGTAACATAAGGTACTGTAAAAACGCAGGTTCTTCTAAGGAAGGCACGTGCATGAGCGAGCATCACTTCGACTCCAAAGCAACTTCCAATAAGCACAATTGGTTCAATTGATCGCTGCGTGCTCAATCCAGGCCCTGCGCGTGAACCGTAAATGTATACACTTCAGCCGCTGGAGCTTCTTTGCACTTCTGCTACTTCAAGTAGGTGGCGGTAGTGGTGATAGTTATACTCGTCATTCATGGTAGTAGAAACAGAATTGACACAGTTGCTTTAGCATTTGCAGCAGGGACGTTGGCAGCAGCAGCAGCGGCAGCAGCATTTCTTACGATTCTTGCTTTTAATTTGTTCGTGGCATCAGGAGGAGTATGGAGGAGTAGTCCTCGTAGACTGCAACTCAGTAGCTGCAGTCGTCGTTGCCGCAAGAAGAAGAAGTAGCTAACAACTATGATGCAGAAGCGGAATAATGTTGGAACTGACCGTCATATGTTGAGGACGCGCACGAGCTTTCAAAGCCGCACGCTTAGTAGAAGCTCCAGCTGCTTGTTACTTAACGCCAATTTGCTGGCTGACAAGCATGGCAAGCGAGCAGCTGAGCCAACGAATCTGAACTGAGAAGTTCTCCTTTTGCTGCCCAAATAAACTAGGGCTCTTCACAAAACGATGCATCGGGACCAAACAGTTTGTAATTGAACCTGAGAAAGATCGGCTTTGGAAGCTCAGGTTGGTCTACAGGCAAGCAGGGAAATAGCTTCTCAAGTACAGTGCCCAGCTCAAAGCTCGCGTAGAATACAGGTCAAAGACCGCTTTTCATCCTCAGCCGTCCTCGGAAACGCATATCTAAACTGTTGCGAGATGATGCTGGTTTGGGCTGGTGCATGTGGCATGGGAAATCGAGATATGTGCCGAATGACCGCTTTTGCAATCTACGCATGGATGTGCCAATTGCCTGACGACCTCCTCAACTGCTGGAACGTTTGCATTCTTGCGGGCGTCCTGCGAAGGGCGTTGAGGAAGTCAACAATCAGCTGCAGTGAGTCGCGAGCCTGGCAACATTGACCCAAAGCTTTTGCGTTTTTGTATTCTGGAGTTTGCAGACACATCCATGTCTTTCAGGGTTCCATATGTCGGAGTACAGTCCAATGCGCAACCTTGATAACTCTATTTGCAACTTACAAGAGCAGAAACGATCCTCGTTTGCAAGTGAGTACACGTACTAAGCGGTGTAGCATGAAAGGCTATCATGATTTGCAACAATGATGCAAGATATGAGTGATGCCAACGAATAGGGTGATCAAAAGTCCCAGCACTGATAGTAACAGTAGCAATAGTAATTGTAGTACTAGTAATAGGTTATAGCAACAGAAATTGTAAGAGCAGCAGTAATAGTGCTAATAGTAATCACAAAGATCTGGTAGAAACAGCCCGCGCCTGCTCCACGTCTGCACAATCAGCAACCTTCCCGCTGCTTCAAAATTGTACTTGTACTTCGCTTCCTCAAAAAAAAAAGGAACTGGTTCTCAACCCTCCTGCGGCTTGCAGTGCCTCCCGAAACTCCAGGAAACGTAAACGAAAAAAGGCATCTAGGAAAACGGGCCAAGCAATGTGTCCTGCTTCTGGGATCTTCAGTGGGGCTCAAACAAATCAAGAATGGAGTTGCGGTCCACCCTGGGCTTCCAATAAGTGAAGAACAACCTGGTATCATCTTTGCCGTCACTGAAGAACGGAATCCCCAACCCCCCCAAACCGTAAGTTGTAAACAGAACCTGTGTATTAGCACAGGCGCGCATCACAACTGCTTGTGAGTCAAGTGCCCTACACTCTCTTATT